GCCTGGTGACAGAGCAAGACTCCGTCTCAAAAAAAAAAAAAAAAAACAACCTTTTGTGTAAGAGCCAAAAAATCAAAATCCAAAAAGTGAGGTTAGAAAATTGACTTACCTCTAAGTTTTATGTATTGAGCTGAGTCAAAACCAAAATCCAGAAAGTGAGGTTACAGAATTGACTTATCCTAAGTTTTATGTATTGAGCTATCAGCTATTTAGGTATTTGTGAACCGTCTTTGATTCAGAGGGTCTGAACACATTTTATCCCTCGAAACCAGCCCTTACAATCTCATGAGTTACCTCTTCTGCAATCGTCCCTAGAGGGAGGGTGCTTGATATCAAATCAGATTGGGGCCAATGGGATTTTAAGTCATTTTCAGACTCTGGAGATATCAGGTAGAAAGAGGAGGTAATCTTCGTTTTTTACTTAATTGTTGTAGCTATCAAATAGCTCAAAAGGAAAAACGGTTTTTTGACTCGGGAAAACAAAACATAAGTAATGTTTCGAACAGAAATATGAGTTCTATATAGTTTTGACAACAACAGGAAAAGGAAGCTTACAGGTAACTATTCAAATTATTTAGTTCAAGGCATAGAACAAATCATATTAACTCAGAGGCAAATTTTTTGTTTATTTTTTGAGATGGGGTCTCACTCTGTCACCCAAGCTGGAGTGCAATGGCACAATCTCAGCTCACTGCAGCCTCCGTCTCCTGGGTTCAAGAGATTCTCTTGCCTCAGTAGTAGCTGGGATTATGGACGCTTGCTGGGATTATGAACGCTTGCCACCAAACTGGAGTAATTTTTTATATTTTTGGTAGAGACAGGGTTTCATCACGTTGGCCAGGCTGGTCTCGAACTCCTGACTTCAAGTGATCTGCCCGCCTAGGCCTCCCAAAGTGCTGGGATTAAAGGTGTGAAAAACCACACCCCGCCAGATAGAGGCAAAAGTGTTCAATGGGTCTTTGTATACAGGCCTGTTCTTGTGTCTCTTGAAAGCAGTTTATCTTCAGTTGCTGTCTTTTCCCAGGTCGGAAGACTGAGAGATCACGTAAGATTTAAACACTTTCAAATTTGTTGAAACTTATTTATGGTCCAGCACGCGATCAGTTTTGCTAAACGACCTGTGTAGGTACTTGTAAAGAAAGTGCGAGGCAGACGGATCACAAGGTCGGGAGTTCGAGACTAGCCTGGCCAATATGGTGAAACCCTGTCTCTACTAAAAATACAAAAGTTAGCTGGGCATGGTGGCGGGCACCTGTAGTCTGAGGCAGGAGAATCGCTTGAACCTGGGGGGCGGAGGTTGCAGTGAGCTGAGATCGCACTACTGCACTCCAGCCTGGGTGACAGAGCAAGATTCCCTCTTAAAAAAAAAAAAAAAAAAAAGAATGTGCGTTCCACAACTGTGGGCTTAGTGCTCAAGCTAAGCATCCTCCTTGGATGTCTGCTATGCTCATTTTCTTTCTTTTCTTTTTTTTAGTGATGGGGTCTTGGTCTTTGGTCTCAGTTGGAGTGCAGTGACATGATTATGGCTCACAGCAGCCTCGAACTCCTGGCTCAAGGGATCCTCCTGCCTCAGCCTCCCAAGTAGGTGGGACTCAGAGGTAAGCCACCACACCAGGCTCCATTATGCTAGTTTTGTTCATTGGCATTGGAGAAAACCATAAAATTAGGGGAAAGGGGTAGATACTAAGAGTGTTATTGGAGTATGATTGGAGGTGGAGTGAAAAAGGAAGTAGATCTCGCGTTCATGGGGCTGCTGAGGAGCCCAAATGAGCACTATAGAGGCCTGGCTTGGTTGGGTGAGATGGAGAAATTCAAGACCTATTTTTGAGACAGTATGCCCAGACATTTAATTAATTAAAAATAATCGTATCCATTATTGGGAGTAAGAATGCTAATAGAAACAGTAACAGCAGTGGCAAAAGTAACTACACTAGCAGAATTGGAAAACCACCAAGATGGTAAGGCCATACAGTACAGCAGTGTCTTACTAACAGGGTTGTGGGCGTCCCCACTCCTCCTCTTCCTCCTCCTCCAGCTCCTCTTCCACGTCTTCCTCCAGCTCCTGCTCCTCTCTCTTCCAGTACCTCCTCAGCCCCTTCTCCTCTTCCAAACCCTCCTCCCTCCTCCGCTCCCAGCCCCTCCTCCTCCTCCAGCCCCTCCTCCTCCTCGCGCAGACCCTCCTCCTCCAGCCCCTCCTCCTCCAACCCCTCCTCCTCCTTGCGCAGATCCTCCTACTCCAGCCCCTCCTCCTCCAAACCTCCTCCTCCTCGCGCGGACCCTCACCATCCAGCCCCTCCTCCTCCAACCCCTCCTCAAGCTCCTCCTCCTCCAGCCCCTCCTCCTCCAGCCCCTCCTCCTCCAGCCCCTTCTCCTCCAGCTCTTCCTCCAACCCCTCCTCCTCCAGCCCCTCCTCCTCCAGCCCTTCCTCCTCCAGCCCCTCCTTCTTCAGCCCCTTCTCCTCTAGCCCCCTCCTCCAGCCCCTCCTCCTCCAGCCCCTCCTCCTCCAGCCCCTTCTCCTCGTCCAGACCCTCACCATCCAGCCCCTCCTCCTCCAGCCCCACCTCCTCCTCTTCCAGTTCCTACTCGGGGCGGGCCCGGCCCGGCCTCCCGGAGCGATCGATGGCTCGGGCTCGTCGCACCCGCCTGCCCAGCCTCTGCGCTCGGCTCGCCAGGCCTGCGGCGCTACCATGGAGACACGGCCCCGCGGCCCCAGGCCCCGCCCTGGGAGCCCTGCAGCGCCTCGTCCCGCTGCCGGCGTCTCCGAGGCCCACGACGTGCGGTGACTGGGGCGGGCGACGTGGGGGACCCGGGGATGCGGGCGGACGATAGGGGACTGGAGGATGGGGCGACCCAGAGCACGTGGGGTCCGGGGCACGGGGATGGGGGCCGCGGGCCATGCGACTGGGGCCCCAGGGTGCGCGCAGGCGGGGGAGACGCGCAATGGGGGCTCGGGACGCTGAGGCTGGCCCAGCGCGGGTATCCTAGGAGGGGAGGTCCCTGACGCTGCGCAGCTGGGAGGGCGTTCGGGAGTGGGTTGCGATGCTTCCCTGTTCGTTTTTTCCTGACATCGTTTTTGTTTGGGTCCAGGGGCCTCCCGGGAGCTGGATGCTCGGAGCAGAAAGGCGGCCCTAGGGGCCCCTTCCGGTCCCGGGGCTGACGCCTGGCGGCGTCGCCGAGAACCCGCGCCCTTTCAACCGCCGCTGGCTCCTGTTTCACAGATGGAGACCCTGAAGCCCCAACAAGCAGCTTCCCCAGCACCGCCCAGTGACTGAAAAAGCTGGCACTGGGCGCCCGTCTCACTCCCCACCCAGCTCCCAGGCTGCCCCACTGGACGTAAGTAGCTCGATCTAGGCCGCTGACCCCCAGACAGTTGATGCTGCGCTATAGACTGCCGCCGCTGCCGGGGCGCTTGACTTCCCCTCGCCTGACTGCACGTTCGTTCCTTTGCAGCAGCATCTTTGGGGAGAGACAAGACCTGAACAGACGCTGGGGCCGGATTCCCAGGGTGGGTCAGAACAGCCGCTGCCCTGAAAGCCGGCTCGGACAGATGCGTGCAGGGCGTGCCACCGGAGCTCCTTGCAGCTTGCGTCTGGGGCCACCATGTCCCTTCCTCAGGGCGCTGGATCCATCTCTTCAAGCTCAGCGGTCCAGGCCATGGTGGCAGAATCACCCCCCAGGGTGTGACGCCACGTCCTTATCAATTCCACACAGCTGCACCTGGAAGAGCTGTGGCTGGGCGCCGCTCTGACCTGTGTGCGGTCCCCTGAATGGGTCTCAGGTGTCTTCAGAATGGCAAGGCCGCCTCATTTCCTCGCCACACAACCCTCCTGAGGACGCTGCCTGCAAATGGGCTGAATTCCTAATTTCTACCATTCAATTAAACGAGGGATCCTTAAACCCCAAAGCTGGGAAAGCTGTCCGTTAATTTAGTGCGAAGCCTGTGGCAGCTGTCCACTCGTGGGCCATCTCCGAACAGCAGGATTCCCAGGAGTCCAGCAGGACAGGGGAGGGGATGAGTGGCCGCGTCCCCCTGGCAGAGAAGGCCTTGTCTGAAGGCTACGCCCGCCTCCGGTACAGGGACACCTCCTTGCTCATCTGGCAGCAGCAACAGCAGAAGTTGGAGTCGGTGCCCCCCGGGACATACCTGAGCAGGAGCCGAAGCATGTGGTACTCACAGTATGGAAATGAGGCCATCTTGGTCCGAGACAAAAACAAGCTCGAGGTCTCCAGGGACACAGGGCAGTCCAAGTTTTGCACAATCATGTAATTCCCATGTGAGCACCTGAGCCCAGGACCACTCTTCGAGGAAAACAGACATGGGTTTCATTCAGTTGTCTGGATTTCTAATCCTTGCTGGAAGATTTTGAATAAGGAATGTGAAGATCAAACCGTGGCGTAAGAACCCAAGCAGCACAGAATCTGCCCCTGAGTCCCTCAGCACAGCTTCGGTGTGACTGGTGCACAGGACACTTCCCCTCTAGAGTCCCCTCAGTTACTAGTCAGCTGTTTCGACATTCAAATTCTCCAGGTGCTGCTAGGGACAGCATAGGCCTGGGCACTGCTAGATGCTTGGTTTAACCAAGCCAAGAGTAACCCTCCCATCCCCGTTATAAAGCATCTTTTCAAGTTTGTATAGGTTTTAGTTTTTTGTTTTTAACATAAATGGCGGAGTAGCAGCAGCATCTCACTGGGAGCTTTGTCGCACTTACATTTTGTTGTTTGCTTTTTGAGACAGGGTCTCACTCTGTTGCCCAGGCCAGGTCGACAAGTGGTACGATCACAGCTCACTGTAGGTTCGATCTCATGGGCTCAGGTGATCTTCCCAAACTGAGCTTCTCAGGTAGCTGTGGCTCCAGGTGAACTACTGTGTATAGAGACAGGGTTTCCCTATGTTGCCCAGGCTGGTCTTACACTCCTGGGCTCAAGCCTCCCATGGTGCTGGGACTACAGGCGTGGGCCACTGCACCAAGCCCGCATTTATATTTTGAGTTACCAAAATGATCGTCCTGTGTGAAGCATCATAGTAGCTTCCAAGCATTTGCGGCCCACCGGCCAGTGCCTCCAAAACACATTCAGGAAACCTGAGAGTTGTAAGTTGCACTTGTGTGGCGTACAGTGATTTCCATGTAGTAACAGGGCTGAGCAAGGCAGGCTCTCCATCAGACTTGAAGCATTCAGCCTCTGCCCCCAGGCCGCCACTGACATGTGTTCACTGTCGCTGCCACAGCTGGCCACCTGTGTGTTCAGTCTCCATGAAGGATTCACCCTCTGCTCTGACATCTCCTTGGCTACACAAATGTGCAGGTGTCTCTTGTCAAAGCTAATTTTTATTTTCTAAATAAACATCCTTTAATACACTGCTCCCCTTCCTCATGTTATTTTTATCCTTGTTCATAATATGCTACTTGGCTTCCCATTTTTTATAGCAGTAATATCTAATTGATTGCTAAAAACTGCAATACAGAAAGGCATAAAGCAAAGCAAAAGTGCTCTCCCTGGGGAGAAGCCGGCTGGCAACTGGGGACATGTCCCATAGCTCCTCGGTGTGCGTACACGGTCACGTGATTCTGACGGCGTCCTCCTGTACCATGCCTCTTGTGTCTGCCATTTTCTTTCTTGCCCAACTGTACAGACTGGGCATTCACTTCATGCTTTTTTGTTTGGTTGGTTTTTTGAGACAGAGTCACTGTGTTGCCCAGGCTGGAGTGCAATGGTGCAATCTCAGCTCACTGCAACCTCTGCCTCCTGGGTTCAGGCGATTCTCCTGCCTTAGCCTCCTGAGTAGCTGGAATTACAGGTGCCTGCTGCCACGCCCAGCTAATTTTTGTATTTTTAGTAGAGACGGGGTTTCACCATGTTGGCTAGGCTGGTTTCGACCTCCCAATCTCAGGTGATCTGCCTGCCTTGGCCTCCCAAAGTACTGGGATTACAGGTGTGAGCCGCCGCACCCGGCCCACTTCATGCTTCTAACCTCTGACTCGCAGCTCTCCCGTGAGTCCACAGATGGGCAGTGACAGCGTCGAAGTTGTCATCTGTGCAAACAGCATGTTCTGAATGTGCCTGTACTCGGTTCGTGCTTCTCTTTGCAGCTGTGCAAGTTCATTCGCAAACATCCTAGAAGTGGAACTGCTGGGTCAAAGTGCATTCCCCAAACGTCCTGCCAGAGGCCTGGTCGGCAGCAGCCTCCTGCACTGCCTGGGTCCTTTCTGCGAGATTCCTGGCTTGTTTGCAGCCTGCGGCTGGGAGGTTTGAAGTCAGACTTCCAGGATTGCAGAATGGAGCTGCAGAGTGAGTAAGCATGGGGCTGGAGGACCTGCCCCGCTAGCTGACACACCCACAGCAAGGCGGGCCTGCCAAGGAAGCACTACACATCCACTAGGTAGGGTTTGTCTACATCTTTTTAGTTCTTCAGTTTAAGTCCTGCCTGGGAAGAAAGCAAACTCCAGAGGCAAATCTGGAGTGCCTGTGGGCCACCTTCTCACCGCACCACAGACTCCCCCGAGGATGGGTTGTGGTGGGGTTGATGCCAAGCATAGGAGGCAGCGCTGACACGCAGAATGGGATCTGAGGTCATGTGCAGCGCTGGGAGGATGTGTGCTCAAGGGCCAGTCTCTGCAGGGGTCAGGGCGTGTGGGCCATGCACAAGCCAGCTGGCACTAAGCTGCTTAGGCTGCAGGAAGACACCATCTGCCTGGGGCGGACAAGGCCCCATGTCCGTCCTCAAGGAGGCTGGTCTGGATAAGGGTCACAATCTGGCCAAGAGTGACACCGTGCCCCCTGACTCCATCTGGGGTCGAGTTGGACAGGTCCTCAGGCCTAGACGTGGGCCCAGCCAGAATCTTCTCCCCTGGAATGTCCCCTCCAGGCCTAGTTCCAGAGCTGTCATTCTTCAGTGAGCCGTGCTGCACGCCAGCCTCTGCAGTCTGGCAGTTAAACCTATGAAAATCTGCTTTTGGGATTTTATTTGCATGTCCCTTAGGACTGAGCGCATCACAGGAAGCCACACTTCAGGATGGACTGAGGTGCAGAGGGAGGGGACAAGTGGCCAGGTTGACCAGAAGAGCACAGAACCTGGCCGTCTCCAAGAGGGCAGCTTGTTCCAGGGAACCAATGAACTCTCAGTAAAGGGGATCGTAGCTTCCTAGTGAGGCCAGAAATGATGCTCCCTTCATCCTGCCAGGGCACAGGACAAGGGCTACTTAATGGTTTGGTTATTATTTTTTTGGGAGATGTGGTCCAGGCTGGAGTGCAGTGATGCAATCACGGCTTTACTGCAGCCTCAAACTCCTAGCCTCAGGCCATCCTCCTGCCTCGGCCTCCCAAAGTGCTGAGATCACAGGCACGAGCCACTGCATTCTGCCTTTAAATGGTTTTTGGGGGCCCCTTTTGGATGCTTTGGGTGTTTTTGCCAAGAGTTACAGGATGTCAAGTGTGGGGAGCTCAGCACCCTCACTGTGGACCAGTGAAGGCTGTTCCAGACCAGGTGCTTCCAGACATTTCTAGGCTCCAGGAGAGAGGCTGGGAGCCCCCACACAAAGCACAGGAAAATGCAAAATAACAGTCCTTTTTTTTTTTTTGCTTTTTATTATGAAAACAAAACAAATGCCCCAGGAGAAGGGTCCATGATTACCAGAAACATCAAAGAGTACTTTCTACCATTTTTATTCTGTTGTGTTGAGGCCAGCATTGCAATAAACAAGCTAAACTACTTACATTGGACTCATTTTCAGTAACTGACATTTACAGGAATATACTAGAAACGGCACTAAAAAGTTTAAGAAAAGTTACGGTAAACTTGCATGCACATCATACAGAAAAGTAACACTTTAACTATAAAAAGGAAAACGCTCCCGGAGGCCTTATGCCAGTGCGAAGAAACGGCGCTACTCTGGATGTGACCAATTCTGTATGTGGGTGTTACTCTTTCCCAAAAGACTGTCGGAGGCGTGAGTGCTGCAAAAGAACAACAACAAAAACAAACACCAAAGAAAATGTGTCTTACAGTTTGTAAGCAAGATGACGCCGCCCGACACAAAGAGGGGTCTGGAGTTCAGTTCACGCCCGAAGCCCGCCCCCTTGGCCTCCAGGGGTCCCTCAGAGCGTTCTCAAATCCAATTCCGACACACGACTTGTCACTGCTCCTCTCCCCTTGAAAAAAGCATGTTAGAAGCTGCCCTACAGGTCTCAGCAGCGGGACAATCTAATTGAATCACCGCAGCCTTCTAATACAGAAGACGTGGACGTGACTGTCACCCTCAGCCTGCCGGCGAGGGCGCTGAGGAAGTCATCAATCCTTCGAAACTCTGAAAAGAAACCAGTGTTGAAGTCTGGACAGAAAGCCTTAAAAAAGTGACAGCACCAATGCGGCTGCTCAGTGTACCCTCGGTGGGCCGTCAGGGTCAGTGGCTTCTTTCTAGATGAAAGGAGCAGAGGCGAGCCAACGCCACCATCACAGAGAACCAGCCGAGAAGGAATGGCCCCACGACGCTCCTGCTGCGCTGCCCCACAGCCGGCTGCTCCCGACAGCTCACACAGGCGGCACGTGCCTCACTGCCCTGTGGCTGGAGGGACATTTCAAGGAGCTCCCACCATCCCCAGGCACCCCCAGCTTAAGGTGTGCGCATCACCCAGCCCTGTGCTGGCAGCACGTTACCAACCAGCCTGCGTGAAGACCTGTCCACTGTCGTGTGTGAATTCCTTAAATTCGGTTTAAATAGTCCATTAACTATCTGTTTAGAAAATACCTTTGAAAAACAAGGGTAACTTTAAAAAATGGAAACTTTCAAATCCATTAATATTTTTATTATAAACAAAACTTAATTAAAAGTTTAACAAACTGGCTGAAAACTCACCAAGTGTCAGACTTACCAGCAATTTAAAAAGTAGTAACTGACCAGCATTTCCTCATCAGAGCTCCCTCTCCAGTAAGGGTGTACCTACATCTGTAAGGGCCAGTGGACTCTGAATCAATTTTATGTTGTTTTTTTTTAAATCACCATGTATTAGGATATTAATGATAGTCCCTCTATCCATCCAGAAGTGCTGGCAGAAAGCACTGGCCACCATACAGGACAGACGACACCACGGCTCCATAGCCAGCATCTGCCTGGAGGCTCCCCCACGCCCAGGTCCGGGAGAATGCCTGGTTTCAGTCATTTCCGGGCTAACTATGACAACGCGTGAACAGGGAGCACCGTGCAAGTCTCTGGGAGGGAATCCTCCTGGGGCCCAGAGACGACTCTACCCCTGAGGAGGGCAGACAGGCTGGGGAGGGCCTGCCCAGGCCTCTGTAGGCTGGCATGGGGCAGGCATGCCCACCCACGAGCCCGGGGAAGCTAACCCTGGCATTCCTGGCCGAAGCCGCCATGCTCATTGGTGGGCCAGTGTGGGGCATCCCCGCACTCAAAGGCCATATGGCAGCCTCTGGGAAAACAAAACCAAAACATAACCTTCTATTAAACTCTGTATATTATTATTTTTTACAATAGAAAGTTAAAAATCAAGACTTAGATTTACTATACATTTTTTCTCTCAGATTACAAAGTTTATATTATATAACTGGGGTTCCCTAAATCGATTTCTTTTAAAACAGTCTTAAAGAGACCAGAAGTGAATACAAAAGAACTAAACAAAATAAAAAATTAGAATGTGCTGTAGCTGAAAGCTGTCTATACCTGTAAGCCTCCAAGTTTCATACAAAAAAAAAAAAAAAAACCACAAAGAAAAAACCCAAAAAACCCAGCGAACCCAGGGGCGAGCGCGCGAACACAGATGTGGGTGAGCACCGCGCGGTGGCAGGAGTTAGCACCTGGAGACGACAGGCCGCCGCCAGACAGGACCCGGGCCCGGCACACCACTGACAAGGCCTGCATCTCTGCGATTGTGTGAATGCATTTCTTCTGCGGTTTTTTCTTATTTTTTTTTTTTAAAAAATGACCAATGATGTTAATAAATAACTATTTATATACACAAAAGCTTGGGAAGTGGTTCCCAAGGGCGCAGCAGCAGCAGCAGCAGGGGCGGCGCTAGCCAGGCGGGGACTCACAGCGGGCTGGACTTCCGTAGAAAATTGCCGAACCTTACAAAAAAAGTCTCCTTTTTTTTTTTTTTTAAATCTTTTCTTCTTTTTTTTTTTAAAGTTGAGGTAAAAGCTTCAGTGTATGGAAACCTGCAGGCTGCACACACAGCCGCTCTGTTCCCTCCGAGGAGCTCCTGACATCACCACGATCGGAGAACGCACATCCCACCCGACCCCCACAAGGGCTCCACGCTCTGGGCTGGGGCTGTGACAACCCTTCGCTTAGGCCCAGCCTGGTCCCCACAAGCAGGCACATCTGTCCTCAGCCCCTCCAGAAAGAGGTGGCCGCGTCAGACACGAGGGTCAGAGCTCAGGGCCCACATGACAAGGACGATGCGTGTTGACAAAGCTAACAGCTTTCAAATACAGTACCCATGGCCGAGACATTTCCTTGGAAAAAATGCTTTCTCGAGCTGTCGACCAGGTTGGGTCTAAGCAAAGGGATTCCACAAGGTTCTTCGGTACGAATCTCACACAGTTTTCTGGGGTCATCGGGTTAGCATGTGAAGTTGTCATCTCCAAGTGACTGAATTCAGTGATGAAGAAGAGACTTTCTGCAGAGTTCACACCTTCTCATCAAGTCTAACGCACACACAAGATAGATCTCTGACCTATGAAAGCAAAAACTGGAAGATATCATAACACTGAATTAAGAAGCAGACCTGCACACCATGGAACAAAAGTAGTATATGAACCACAGAGGGGCACGGCAGAGTCTCGGCGTGTGCGACATCCATCTGTCCTGTCCTGTCCGAAGCCAGTTCACTCTGAGTCGCTGCTGTCGGAGCTGGACCCGCTGGAGCTGCTGCTCCCAGACTCGGAGGAGCTGCTGCTGCTGAGCCTGGACGGGCCCCCTGAGGGCGCGGAGCCGGGTTTCTCTGTGGAGACATGGACAGGGAGATGCGCTCTGCACACCCGCTCCTTGACCTGCTTGGCGGCACGTCGTCCATGCCAGTGTGACACCACCACACCGCGTGCCACGATCCACCCATTTCCTGGCCCAGTCGTTTGATCAGTATTTATTGAAATTAATCAGGTCAACAAGACTACCTGAATATACTTGAGACAGAAAAAATGAATGCAGACTACTAACAGGAAACGATGGATGCGAGAAAGGCTGCCCATCAAAAACATCCGCCAGTCACACGGCCACCAGCAGCGACGACGGACACACCAGCTGCTGGCGTTTCTGGAGCGCTTACTCTGCCTGGGGTGTCCCAAGAGTGACTACAGGAGACAGACCCCTTCAGTGGGCAGGGTCATGGGCCTTGTCTCGACACTGGGCAAACCATGTCGCAAGGCCATGGCCCCCAGCTAGAACATGCTCCAGTCCAGACAGGACCATACTGTCCACCGTATGTGTGTCCTGGAAGCCAGGGAAAGAGATGCGTGCTCTAACAGGCTCCAAAAACGGAGGCAAGGGCTCAAATGCTGGCTCCCCTGAACACAAGACCTGGCAATGCGCAGGGCATGGGGCTGGGCCTCCCACCTCTGCTACCTCAGCCTGCTGTGAACTGCTGCCACTGCCAGGGAACAGTCAGAAAGCTCACTGTCTAGGGGCTGGGCTGCCCGGTCGACCCCACAAGAGCCCTCTGCTGGGGGGTCCTCTGTCTATGGTGCCCTGGAATGGGGTGTATTCACACACACCCCACATTGCACACCTCCCTGCAGGGTTGGGGTGTGACCCCCAAGTGACAGACAAGGAAATCGCGGTTTCAGGAGCTCAAGAGCTCATCTAAGAACATGGAGCTCATCAGGTGAGCCACACTCAGACGTGGGCCTGCTTGATGCTCAAACCCCTACTGCTGACAGCCCCCAACCCCCACCAAAGAGAGGTGGCATGGCGGCTGCAGGCGGTACCTTTCCGGGCGGGTTTCTTGCTGCTGCTCAGCTGCCCGCTGACGTCCTGCAGACGCTTTTCCAGCTCCTTCTTCTTTTCCTGAGCTAGCTCCTCTTTCGACTTGGCTGCCTGTTTCTTCCCGCTTGCTGCTGTCGGGGAACAAATGGGCACTCAGACTGCAGAGGGGACCGATGGGGCAGGAGCCAGGGCTGCATCCAGGTGGCCAAGGCCCCAGCCCTGCACACTGGCATCCACACCAGCTGCCCAGCTTTCATGGGTCTGGGAGCCGACAGAGACACAGAGCTGTCACCAGGGCTTTAAGTGGCAGAAATGACTGGGTTGAGACAGACCCACCACCACCCGCATCTGCTGAGCCCTCAGTGTGTGCAAAGCCTGGATCCTAAGGTGACAGAGGCCATTCCTACGGTGCCAACAGGTGCACGGGCAGGATGTGGTTTGGCCAGTGTCCCTCATGTGCAGGGCCAGAGCCTCTGATTCATGGACCTGCCTTACCAGGGCCGCTGCTCTCCACTGTCTGACACTCCTGAGTCACTCCCCCCAAGTCGACCCGGTGACCTGCCGTGGGTCAGACGCACCGTGACCACACAGATATTCCAGCCAGGAAAAGGAGACTTGCTCTGAGAGTGAGCGAAGCCCATGCACACCTGAGAGGCCACATGCAAGTTCAAGTGAGCCCTGCACTCACTTGACAGCCTGTGGGGGCTGACACAAGGGCCACCTGGGGTCTGCCCTCCCTCCTACTCTGCCAGACCTGCAGACCCCAGCAGTGATTTGTTCCTGCCACTGACTTCAGGGAAGCCTGGGCCGGTGCCCCACGGTCCGTCCTGTGAGGCCTCTGGACTTGTGACTCCAGTCAAAGGCAGGGTGTCCCTGTTATAGGAGAAGCCGGTCCTGCAAGGGACCATGAGAGGTCACCTGCAGGCAAGGCCCCAAATGGAGGGAACCTCAGGAAGGCATGCAGTGAGGACCCTAACTGGGCCCTGAATGAATGGGGTTTGGGGCCGAAGTCCAGCCCCAGGGTTGCGCGTTCCCTGGACAAGGTTAAGGCCAAGGCACGCAGTGCTGCCCATGTCCCCGACAACAGGGCAAGAGGGCTCTGGCTGGGTGGGGCTCAGGCCTGGGTTCAGCCACAAGCCCACTGGCCCTGGCTGAGCACAGATATCCTCAGGGCATCTGTGGTGGGACCAAGGAGCCAAGACAGTGTGACAGCCCTGTGCCCACGCTCGCTGCACAGGGTCTGTGAGGAGTGACAGGAGGGGCAGGCCAAGGAGGGAAGAGGAGCTTCGAGCACCATGCTCCACCCAGGCAACTTACAGAACGGTTTCCTTTGCTTTTTCTGTAAACAAGACTTGACGTATCTCTCCAGTTCCCGCAAAGTGGTGGGTTTCAGAGTCTCAAAGTCAATTTCTATTTCGTCGGGGTTGGAGTCCCTGAGCGAGGGCTCCCGAGACTGGATGATGTGTACCACCCGGCCCAGCTTCTCCCCGGGCAGCCGGTTGATGTCCAGGCTAAGCTGGCGCTTTTCATCGTAGCTCATGGGCAGGCCTTCCTCCTCTTCCTCCGAGTCGTAGGAGGCAGATGCCTGCTTGCTGCCTTTCTTCAGCTGTCTGGGGCAGAAGACAGAGCAACATGGCGTTGAGTCTCTGTCTACCTGCCCTGGGAGCCCACTGCACACACCCCTTCCTCCCAACAGCAGGCTGTTCTCTGGGACCAAGCTTTCTTCCCAAAGTGGTGCCCCAAGGCAGACAATCCAAGGTTAGAAAAGTTGCTCCCAGCTGCGGGGTTTCCAGACCTTGGCCAGAAAACAATGACAGAGGTTAGTTCCTCTCCACACTCCATAGGCGTCTCAAACTCCACAGGTAATATATATAAGAACGGGGAGAGTTTCCAAACAAGAGTTAGATGTGCGCAGAAGGATCTACGAATCTATTCACTAGACTGAAATGTTGATTGGAACGCAAGCTAAAAACGAGTCATCGAAAGATCCTCAAAAAAAACCAAGTAGCTGGGATTACAGGCTTGAGCAAACCAGCGGCCCGGCGAGTGTGGAATAGTTTTTAATCATGAAATATCCAATATTTATAGGTATAGACTTAGATTATCAGTTTCTATTGAGTGAGTTTTTAGAGGTTTATGGCCTTTGAAGGCATTAATCCATTACTCAGATTGTCAAGACTACGGAAATAAGTTTATTGGGTAAGTATTCACTCTATTATCCTTTTATTGTCTGTAGGACCTGTTAGTGGGTTTCTTTTTCATTCCTGATATTGGTAATTTGTGTCTTTTTTCATGGTGAAATCTGGATAGAGACTTACATTTTATTGATCTTTTCAAGAAAACATATTAGATTACACTGGGATTTTTAAATGTTGTTTACTTTTTATTTATTTCTCATCTTCACTGTTTCCAACCAATAGATAATGATCATATTTTAAGGTAGAAGACTTAGATTAGCTGACTTGAACCCTGGTTTTATTTAAAATTTTTGAGAAGGGTCTTGCTCGTCGCCCAGGCTGGAGTGCAGTGGCACGATCTTGCTCACTGCAACCTTCCGACTCCCGGTTTTCAAAGTGATTCTCACTGCCCGCAGCATTCCCAAGTACTGGAGATTACAGGTGCACGCCGCCCCCATGGCTGGATCATTTTTGCTTTACTAGTAGGACAGGGTTTTGCAATGTTGGCCAGGATGGGTCTCAAACTCCTGACCATCAGGTGACACCAGCTCGCCTCACCAAAGAATGACTAGGAGATATAAAAGGAAGATAGATCCACAACAAAAGAAAAGTAACACAAAGCAATAATCCCTTTTTTTCCTGAAATATTCACTTTTTCTGAAGTTTTACGTGTCTGAAATTATGTATCCACCCCAGCTTTCTTGACTATTTTGCATGGTAATATAAATTTTTGTTCTCACTTTTTTTTTCCTTAAACAACTATCCTAGATAACAAATTTTATAGGATTAAGAATTAGGAGAATGGTGTCATTTTAATAGAGAAGATGAATATCTATGGAGATAGAAGTATTAAGGTCGTATAATTTTATAAAATATGATTACCAAACCTAGATATGAAACTTATAAACTACTTATGATAGATATGGTAATATAAGACCATGGATGTAAATTAAAATTAATCTAGGTATTGAGATCAGTAATTTTTAATATTAAGATTCTTATATTTACTTATATAAGAATCTTATTCTGGTTTATTTATTTTTATAGTTAGATTATATATATATAGACTGAGACGGTAAAGAATTTTGAGACTCTAGAATCACAGACTAATATTACAGATGCATGATCTAATGAATTAGTGCAAGGTAGTACAAATTGCGTGTGGGCTCACATAGAGAAAACCGGTCCACAAACCTGAGAGAGAAGATATAATATCCAATGCACGAAAATATACAGACCATATCTACACATATATTGGAAAGAAAGAGTACATGGGATTTTAATGAACAAAGCGAGTAGATTAGACCAAAACGCAACAAAAAATGGAAAAGAATTGATACATAAAAAAAATATACAAAGACTAGACTATTAATTTTATAGAAGATAAAGGTGAGAAGAAAGAAGACCTTTTTTTTTATTGGGTTCACCCTTCTAGACCCAGATGGTCCTCGATCTACTGACATCTGATCCGCCCGCACTCAGCCTCACAAGGACTGGCATACAGGCGTGAGCCACCAAGGAATCCGGGTATTACACAGTTTATATTTCAAGTATTATTGATTATAAATTGGATTTGTCTATCAATTTATTATTTTATTTTTCCTCTGTTTTTTTGTCTTGTTCCCCTTTTTTGCCGCTTTTGGATTACTGAATACAGAGATAATTTCTTTCTTTTTTTTTTTTTTTTTTTTGAGACGGTCTCGCTGTGTTGCCCGGCTGGAGTGCAGTGGGCCGGATCTCAGCTCACTGCAGCTCCGCCTCCCGGTTCACGCATTCTCTGCGCCCAGCCTCCCGAGTAGCTGGGACTACAGGTGCCCGCACCTCGCCTGGCTAGTTTTTTGTATTTTTTAGTAGAGACGGGTTTCACTGGGTTAGCCAGGATGGTCTCAATCTCCTGACCTCGTGATCCGCCGTCTCGGCCTCACAAGTGGGATTACAGGCTTGAGCCCACACGCCCGGCCTCGAGTGAATACATTTCTTGACCTG